AATACCAGTTTATGTACACGAAGACTGACGAAGATTGAAATGAAAATGGGAAACTTTTCACACTAAACTCTTCAAAACTGCAGGGCGACCACGAGGATACGAGGATCTAGAAACTGCTATGAGCAGAGCACTACAGAGTGATAAGCCTAAATAGGTGGTGCATGGAAATATAAACAGGAAGACCCAATCATCGGTTTAGTTCACTACACCCTCTGCCAGGGAGCGCTGATGTCAGCGCTAACCGGAGTTGGGGGTCCTTATTTATTCTCTTGGTCCATGGCAGAGCCTCACTGTCACTTTTGGGCGCCTCATCCCTCCCGTAACCTTAAAATGTACCCACCTGAGTTGTGCTTGTGTTTATAATTTATAAACAAATCTCTAATAGCAATATAATCATTTTACTAAAGCAGATGTTCAAGTGAGTTTTGCACTGGCTTTGCATGAGACTACTACGTATATTGGTTTTAATTGTTGTTGATAATGGTCAAAGAAACACCGCCAAAAATTGTCAAAGCTACTCTCAAGCGCAAAGCTCCCGCTGTAAGTATTTATTCCTTCTTTTACATAGGTACATCATACATTACAACAACTCATGTAAACAGCATTTCTTTTCTGAATTTTGGCATGAGGACTCTGCTTGTACTTAGAGGTACCAGAAGCAAGAAAAAAAACTTGCCAAAACCCAATCAAGAGGGATTACGTTCTGAATACAATTCAGAAATAACAACCTGACATAGTCAACGGAATGGTTGTGGTAGAAGTAGTTGGCCAAGAGCAAGTCTGATGTTCCTCTTGCAACTTCTCGAGGTCTTACAAATTACAATCAAAGCTGATAATCTTTCTCTTCCATGCAATTAAGTGCCAAAAATATCCAAATTTTCTTAGATAAAGTAATTCCAATAACTATCTGCTGGAATGAAATTGCAGAGAGGGACATAAATCTAGTATTACCAAAGTAACAGTCACTGAAAACCCGTGCTAATTAGTTGCCTGACTCTCAAAGTACAACGAAAGATTTGCATTTTACCATGAACACTTTCGGCAGAAATTGAGACGGTTTACTTATCTTCAGTTTGACCCCAGAAGTTGGCCGTCAATCTGCCGTGTGAACTTCATGGTATGGGCAAAGTAAACACGGCTACTTTACATTACTTCTTCTCAAGCTTTTAAAGAAAAAAGTGGAAATTGTGAAGAAGGCTACTCTCTCATCAGTCACTGAAGATAATGGTAGTTTTGATAAAAGAAACAGGTACCTACATTTTGGTGTATTAGCTTGTTTATTAGTAAATAAGTTTATTTTGCCTCCATCATAATGAGTATCATTTTTATGTTTTTGTATAGACCACTGACGCTGGGCCAAGTGCTGTTGAAAGTGAAGTAACCGGTAATGAAGTAGTCCCTGTAACTGATGTAGCAGTTAGCGAGGAAATTAAAGAGGAGAAGCATTTTGTCTTTAAAAAACAGTCATTCAATGTAAGTTTAAGAATGCTTTCAATCATTCTTTTAAAATGTTACCTGACACAATATTTTGGGTTTGTATTTCCCACTGTGCCTCTCCTCCCTCCCCCCCGCCCCCTAAAAAAAAGTTCAGAGGTGCATTCTACCTTTTGAGCCATGCTGGTCGTAAGCCATAAGCAAGTTCCGTGTAGCCACAAGCTCGTCCCAGTCAAAACGACTGGTGTTGCGCTCGCTGAATCCTTCAATGCTGGTCGATAAACCAGTATGGCAGGTAAAATCTTAATATTGAAACTGAAGGAAAGATGTGTCTTAAGGACTAGAATAATTTTTCTCCACTCAAGTAGTTAATGCTGGGAAGTGTCATTTTTTTTTTTAACGTACGTCAAGGGATGTAGAAAGTTCCAGCCTCCTATATTTTCATGCGTCCCCATATTGGTCGCATACGGTATTATTCCACCAGCATTCCACAAAACTTTCCATTAGGTAACGGCAAAATTGATAACCTTTTTTTTTGTTTTTTTTTTTGCTCGTCAAACTTTCCTATTTCTAAAATTTTAACATGCATTTGAACAACTAGGTGCACACACTGGGTTCGGTGGTACTCCTCAAATAATTAAACCGCATGCATACTGAAGACATTTCATTGTTTCAATATGTGCATAATGTAATAATTTTTTCTTCTTAATTCCTGTTAATCTAGCTCTTTTAGCGTTCATCTAATATTTATAGCCAAGACTTGAACAACTGAAGTTCTAAAAGAATTATTTTTCTTTCTTTTGATTCGAAAAGGAGGAGGGAACCGGACTACAGTAACGACTTGTATGTGCCAGAGAAGAGCAACCTCAAATCCCAGCCCTTGCCAGCCACTAGTGACTGACCAGGGCGGGGATCAGAGCCCTAACATATAAGGAATTTGAGGCACATATCAATCCAGGAGTTCATATTATGAAATTGTCTCACAAAAAAATGAAATAAAAGTTCGCTCTCTCAGCATTTTTACGTTTCTGATTTCAGTATCATGGAACGGTGAATAATAAGAAGAGAGTCTGGAAGTCTTTGAAGCAAATCCTCACTCACGAGCGAAGTCTCCCATGGCCAGAGTCTTATGTCCATTGTAAGTTTTTTAATTTTCTCATCTCACAAAAATCTATAGATGATAGAAGTATAGCTTTCTAACAATATAAACGCAGGCTGACTGTGGTCTGAAATTTGTAAGAATTTTGGCATGAAAACATGAAGCATTTTTAACTCATTATTCAAAGACTTTCTCTATTTGTTCTGTTAATATTTTCAAAGTGAAAATATTGATGGTTCTCTCTGAAATTGTGTCATCAAGCTAAAAAGTTGTATCCATAACCATTCAAGAGTTGACCTGGCTCCACAATATTTCCATTACCAACTCAACATTTTTTATACATATTTTTCAATACCTTTACCTCATATCTATCTGTACGAAATTCAGAAAATTTCCCTTTCTATTTTTTTCTCCGGGATAAATTTTCTCTCCTCTTACATCCACAGATAGATCAACCTTCTCAGCTGTTACACTTTTTTTTGTGGTAGATATTAAACAACAAAAATATTGCCTCAATTTTTTTTTTACAGATTCTCATATCTCAGCTCCTCCATCTTTCAAGCCAGCAAAGAAGTATTCAGATATCTCCGGCTTAACGGTGAGTTGAGTAATGTCTATTCATCTTGATACGTGTAAGGATTGCTCATAATTTGAATTTCAAAAAATGGATTGCAACTAAATTCTCACACAATGGAGCAAAAATGTAATTTAGCCTCTGTGTATGTCCCATTTAAACATACCTAGATTTTTACTTCACTCATATTTTCAGTGTGCATCAGGATATTTTGTACCTTACAAGCACTTCTCATCCTTCAATGCCTCATATGCTAAAGAAAGCTGGGTTGCTTAACTTGTTGGTTGAATAAGATTTCAAGGCAAAATATCTTCTATTTTTGTATTGCATATGATGTATCATTATTCAGTTTTAGTGACACGAAACGTTCATTTTCCCCTTTACACAAAACAATCCTTCTTCTATCACTATGTGTTTTCATGTGCTATTTTGTAAGCTGAAATTTACCAAGCTACCAGAACAAGCTATTCACTACCAGAATGTTACGCAACCAACTTCAATGGGGATGAAGACAAGCAAACAAACTAAAAGCCTTGGCTAATTGCCTTGGATGAGTTGTTTCTCTTCACTGGTGCAGGAATGTTAAACTCCAGTTGGATTTCGGCGCAAGGCCTGTTGCTTTTGTTCAAAGTATTTCTTGTTTTCTAACTTGAATTTACTCCCTTTTTTTCAGGCAAAATATACAGACCCTCAGACTAAATTACAGTATGCAATGGCAGAAGAATTTAGCACTGTGCGTAGTTTACCAAGTGACATTATCAGCGGTTATCTATCATTACGAGGAGTAAATAGTGTGATTGGTTAACTTATTCCCAACAATTCTGAGCTTAAAAGTGTTCACTGGCTGTGAGTTTTTTCTCCCTTTTCTCTATTTCATGTTCTTTCCCCTCCAACAACTGATTTTCTTCTGATAAAGTGTTATATGTTATCTAATAGTCTTTAAGCATCCTTTCTATTTTTAATATCATATCTGTATTCCTCAATTGTAAAAATTTCAAAACAGGGAGGACATCTCACCAAAACTGAGGTAAATACCACATTTTCCTATATTTTAATGACATTAGCAGGCTAATCTTAAAATCAACTGATTAAATAATTCGAAGATGACTTTGCGGGCAGTATGCAAATAAAATGTAAGGATTTCGTACAATCAAATAATTTTACTTTCTAGTCAGTTTCTAATTTACCAACGGTGCACTGTTCTTGGTTCAGTGCCTCTAAATGATATTCAAGGTAGGTTTGGCTCCTAAAATGTTGGTCTACTACCTAGCACCAAGTCCTCCACAAGAAAAGGAGCAAAAAAATCATTACCATTGGTGGAGAGAGGAGGGGTGGGGTTCGAATCACCTCTCTTCCACCAAAATATTTAAAACGCTTCTCTTAAATCTTGCCTGAATTGTGTTTTTACTACTTGATCCCCAAAATATGTTTTGATTTTTCAAATTTATGCAGCATCAGATTTTTTTGGTATGAAACAAATTATACACTATTCATAGACTAAAATGTGATAAATTTACCCCATATAAAACTAATTTTTACACTTCTAGTGAGCATGTAGATTTTGGAGACATGCTCATTGTGTACCGTGTGCACTGTGCACACATCTCAGTTTCGGAAGCGCTCAAATTTTGAAAAAATGCCTCTATTCTTCAATGGCGTGTACTCACTGCACAAGTTTAGACATCAAACGGTGGATTTTGTAATGCCGTGTGGCCATTGTAAGAGCGTTTATTAGTTTTGCATCATAACTTTCCTGAAACACATTAGAGGAAAACGTTTATTACAATTACTGCAAATTCAAACTTGGCCAGATTGACCTTCCTTGCGAGATTTAAGTCCTTTTTTTAAGCTCTTATAATTAAGTATTAAGTAGATTCTAAGATCGTTTGAATCATATTCGCGTTTGTATCTGGTAGTTGAGACTATTCCATAAATGGGATACTTAATCACGACCTAAGACTTGCTTTTTTGAGTTTTCTTTCTCGCTTTTTCCCAAGATAAGAAATTATTTGTTGGGTTGACGAAATAAATTTGATCAACATGGTCATCAATGTGAGAGAAAGTCGCTTGATTCAATATATCAGGGGTGCTAATCAGAGCTCTACTCTTTGGGAATATTTATTGGGGTGCTAAATATTGGAGAGTCAAGCTCTGATAGACAGCTCTGATCATGTGAATCATATAATCTCCTCTCATGTTGAAGAACATACTGATACATACTGAACATACTGTGACCTCAGCTGAAAGGACCTCGCCCATGTATCACTTCAGAAAGTGCATTGTAAGTTGTAACCCTCTGATGCAACTAACAGTGCCAGTTTTTAGGTAAATAAGCTCTGGTTATCTATGTTTCCCTCTATTCTGCGGGACGATTATTGAAACTATGTCAGCCCGACACGACAAGACATAGCCCTATCTTAATAATGCAATATATCGCAATTTGATGTCGAATCGGGCTGGTTTAAATTTCAATAATCGACCCGAAGGGCATCTTAGAAACAGGCTTGCAATTTTATGTGAAGGCAAAGTGCCTCGCCAGGAATCGATTGTTTTACATACATTTAAATGGAAGAAAGACAGTGTTGTCAACCTTCTAGAATTGCCACTGATTCAGAATCAATAAAAAATCTTTACTTAGATAGATCCACAGACTGCTCTCTACTCCTTGTGGAGTAACTTCTCCTGAACACTCTTCAGGGGGCTGATTGTTGAAATTTATAGACAAAGCTATAGACAAAGAAGACCAAAGGGATTTGGAGGGACCCTATTGGTGGAAGCAGGTGGTTGCAATGGACAAAGGAGGTAGGCAATAGACTTACTAACGGCAACCCACAGTTAGTCATCATTTACCCCTTTAGTCCATAATAACCACGAATTTCAACCAATCCCCCCCCCGTGTCTTCTTTGTCTATCGCTTCGTCTATCAATTTCAACAATTAGCCCGCGGAGGCGCCTTTTCATATTTTTACGGAAGTCACCGCGAACTCTAAAATCTTAATCCATGTCCTGCGCCTGGACGGCGCGTATCTACGGTAAAAAGTGCCTTCAAACTAGTCGAATGCAATTTTGTTTACACGTAGCGTTTCCATGGATCATCGCGCCTGAGACTGTGCTACCGTGCAATATCGCCTCATTGTTGTTTTGAGTTTTATAACAGAAGACGGTGAGGTGGAAATCCGATATTACGACATCACTTGTTACGACATATCGGTTATAACGATGTCATAATTTTTCTAAGGCATTCAAGATCGGGGAGTCGTGAATACTGACTCGAATCAGGTTTTAAGACGAGCGCCACTCAGATGTGACCGGAGATTTTTTTTTTTGGGAATATTTATTAGTACGTCTTTGGAAATACAAATTTAGCACTTTTAGCTTTAGAATATAAAACATATTCTTAAGCTTTTCACCCCTAAGTTTCGAATCTGCCAGGTTTCCACAGAAAGTAAGATGCACGGAAAAGTTTCACCCAGCTCAGCCTAGCCGGCCGGCGATCTCACGGTTTTCCACGACGGATGACAGTTTTTCTGTGTTTGATGAAATATTTAGGCACAAGCGCATTGTCGAAGCGCTTCCACTTATCGTCCTTATGGCATACAAAAACACACACTTTGAGGAGTAATTGCGTTCAAAAAAGAAGAAGAAAAAAAGGGGGGGGGATCAGGCACCGAAAACTATCGTTTTTCGCGATAACCGCAAATTATCCAGCTAAATGGTAAAACTTTACCGATCGTCCGAGTTTGATGAGAACCATGTAAATTGACCACTGATATGTTGAGGATATTAGTATACCCGGGGGCACAGAGTATTTTCAAATTTGCTCTTGGACCTTGATGGGTCGGAAAATGGCCCTCAATGGGGCAGATCATTTGGATTGCATTTTGCAAAAAGAAGCCAAGAGCATTCCTATGTTGCTAAAACTGTGCAACTCTTTTTACCTTGCAAATATAAAGTAATCATCTATACAAGTTTTATCTTTACTCCCAATAAGCTATGAATTCAAGACGAAAATTACCAATATAAATTTAATTTTTTGCATGATTTCGGTAATTTTTATGCAAAGAATGTAAGTTGCACAATCCTAGTAACATTGGAATGCTCTTGTTCCCTTTTTCCGAAATGCAATCAATTTGATACTCTATTTTAATGTCACCCCTGATTATGGAGATGTTGCAGAATTGCAATTTGAGTGTTAATTCTTATGTAAAAGTTCGCGAGAAACACGATGGTGCCACTGGTTTTTTCTGAAATCAACTCTCAAGCTTTAGAAAAAGCTCTCAAGTTGAGGCCAAAATGGAGGGGATATCCCACGCTATCCTGAGAGTCCACCTCTACATCAAGACGAACTCTCCATGCAAAGATAGGGAGCAAATACATTGACAGGGCTGTCACGTTATTTGGGGACTCTAAAACTGAAAACACGGCAACTCTGCTAATGTACTTGCTCCCTATCTTTGCTTGGAGAGTTTGTCTTGATGTAGAGGTGGACTCTCAGGATAGCGTGGGATATCCCCTCCATTTTGGTCTCAACTCGAGAGCTTTTTTTGAGGTTGGGAGTTGATTTCAGAGGAAACCAGAGGCGCCATCGTGTTTCTCATGAACTTTTACATAAGAATCAATAGTCAAATTGCAAATTCCTCACACATGCAACATCTCCATTATTACAGCGATTATCATACCGAGAAAAGAACAGTTTTCGCGAGCATCCTGGCAACATCGGGGCTCGGTGCGCAAATTGATGGCGCCAGGATTTATGGGAAACTAGTAAAAGCATCGTGGCGTGCCGCGTGCGCCCCCGCAATAGGCGCATGCGCGCCGTTGTTGCCAAGATGCTCGCGAAAACTGTTCTTTTCTCACCAGGGGAAAATCAAGAGGATCGGCAGCAGCAGCGGGTGGAAATTTGTCCTGCGCGTCTGCGCCATAAAATCCACCACTAACGAACGAGCAATTACCAGGCTGTTGTGAGTGTTGTGTACACAACAAATCCTCCATTTGAGCTGTTATTTTCGCCATTCACACGAAGGAGAAAATGTACTTTTTAGGTACCCGCTGTTGTTTTAAAGGGACGAACCTACATCGCCCTGCCAAGGAAGAGGGAAGAATACTGCCGTGTTAATCTAAGGGAAAACACCGTATTAAAACTCGGGAGTCTTCAAATCTCCTCCCGTTAAATGTTCATTTTCAAGGAATATTTTCTCTTGAAATCCTCAGATGATTCAGATCTGATAGCGGATGAAACTCCCTGGAGAATTGGAGGAAAAGTTTTCTCAGATTCTCCCGAAAATTTGTAATTTATTGAAGGAAATTTGGCAACGTCTAAAGGCTCGTACGGCGTTCCTCTTTTGGGTAACTCTACGAAAACTGTCCAATTTGACCTCCCAAAAACTAAAAATTTAACTACGTTATTTTGGATTGAGAGTTTTTTTTTTCTTAGTTCAGCATAGTATTAGGCTTCAAAATTCTATACGAGCACCGTTCTTTATCAGGCATTTCTTTTTTTTATGAGAAATTGTTTTAAAAATAGATCCCGGATGTCACGACCGTCACATCGATTATTTTGGTCCATCGGAAAGAGAGAAATGGTCAAATATGCAGTTTTATTATTATTATTATTTTTTTTTTTTTTTATACTGTTGGGTCCTATGAAGAAGTGAAACAACGAAAAATAGTGACCCAGTGTATATGATTATCATAAAATAGCAAATGTTCTCTAATTTTTGCAGATTTTTCAGCTTTTTTCTCGGAAAACAAAAAAATGCTTCTTGATTTAAGGATCAGATATCTACATATTTGTTTTTTTTTCTTAAATATCTGAACCTACGCCTCCAAAAAATCTTAAACATTGTTCAAAAATTATGAACTTTAAAATTGGCAGTTGTTTCATAACTCTGAAAAAAGTGTGACGGTCGTGACATTTCCGTAACGATCGTGACAGGATTCATCCATTGAAAATTTTCGGTCATTCTATTAACGTCAATATATGACTTAATGCCTCCTACGCTCTTAGGAACCCCCGCCCCCCTCCAGGTCCTATATCGTCCCTTGGATCAAATTGGAACTAAAGTTTTGGCCAACATATTTACATTTGAAAATTGCACTAAGTGTACCTTGTACCCCGAGGAAATTCATAAATGCATACGCGCGCATTCAGAGACTGCTTCGGCGATCACCCAATGAAACCGAAAATGCTCAATACTTTCGGGAAATAATGATTGTTTCCGGGTCTCACCGGAAGTAACCAGGAATGCTGAAAATTTCCGGCAATGGGCCTGTTGCATGCAAGAGATACAACCGCGCGAATAGACTTTATAGAGGTTAAATGACACGAAAATTACGATGGTCACATTAAAAAAGTCTGAAATACATTCCTTACTGCGCAATTTGCGTTGTTAGGAACGCGCTTTTTCAAATTTCCCGCGTCTGAGGGCAGTTTTCTAATCACCGGAAACGAGCAAACGGCGGGCTCGGTGATTTCCGGAAGATGCCGAGTTGTTGTTGTTGTTATTATTTTTTCCTCCAGTTTGTTTACAAACCCAACGTGATCTCTTATAGTGGTCTATATACGCTTTATGCGGTAACCTAATCGATCAACTTTTAAATATCCAACGCTTCTACATTTCATTTCACGATATCACGAGCTCCGATTTTTAGGTTACCTATGTTGTCAGTTTTAGTTGACCGGAAATAGCCGCGAATTGCCGTTATTTGTTTCCGTTAAAAAAATGCTCCCAGACGCGGGAAATTTGAAAAAGCGCGTTCCTAACAACGCAAATTGCGCAGTAAGGAGTGTATTTCAGACTTTTTTAATGTGACCATCGTAATTTTCGTGTCATTTAACCCCTCTAGAAAGTCTATTCGCACGGCTGTATCTCTTGCATGCAACAGGCCCATTATTCATTTCATATGCCGCTGAAAATTTCCGGCGATCATTCATTTCATATGCCGCAATCACACGCTGAATTTGGCAGCTGAATATGGAAGTCAACAGCTAAAATTCGAGTAATTTTCATCCAGATATCACAGAAATTCAACGTAATGAAAGCGGGTTATTTTAGAGGAGAAATATAGCATTCGATACTGATATCAAAACTGCACTCGAATGTGATATTTCCCCTTCAAAAATACCACGCCATTATTACGTTGAATTTGTTTGTCAAAATTGGTAAGTGAATTATTTAGTCTCCTGACAACAGAATTGCGATCTCAAAGTTCGAGAAAAATGACGAGTGGCTGACAAAAATGGAACCAATCGATGAGATATATCGCATGTCGTTTTGACAAAAAACAAGCTGCTGGTTCCAACACTACTGTGTTGGAGAGCTCGCCTTTGGGAAACTATTAACAACTATTAATGATTTTTTCTGAAATTGTATATGTATTAAATGAATCTTTACCCAATTATCAGAGGTTACATGCCGATGCAAAATGTCATGACGTAATTTCATATGACAAATTTTTCACATTACAATAAATAAAGAGAAATAAAGAGAGAGAAATGGAATTATCTTTTATGAATGTGATTTTGCGGCAAATGTTGCAATGGCTATTTTTGCAAGCTTTTTCTTAACTTGTCAACAATGTAATGAAATCATATGATTTAATTTTAATTTTTTTTTTTTAATCAAGTCGCCAACTTGAATTAAGGTTATACTTTGTTAAGCTGGCAGTCTGGAATTCTGAATTTTTATCGGCACAGAGTTCAAAGAAACTATGATTTAGCACGGTTTGGAGGAACGTTTCTGCCATAATTCTTACACAATACTTATGGTATACACTAAGAGCTGAAAAGGAATTCACTTGAATTTTAGCGTGGAGCTCGAGAGACCACCTCAAGCCTTTGTATGCGAGTGGCTCAATGGAGCACATCACGCCTTTGTAGGTATGGGGTGGCTCAATGGAGCACCTCGCGCACTATAAATAGCACGGAGCTCGAAAGAGCACTTCATGCATCTGTATTTTAAGGTTAAAACGAACTCTAAAGAAACTCAATGCGAGGCTCAAACGAATTCTCAAGCATTCTAAATGCGAGGCTCAAACGAATTCCCAAGCATTCTTGATGCGAGGGGCTCAAACGAATCCTAAAGCATTCTTAATATGAGGTTTAAACAAACTCTGAAAGGATCCCAATGCGAGTCTCAACCGAGCTCTCAAGCATGCAATTATTTTGAGGTTAATTAACCTTCTATGGTACCAATAACGGCAATCTTAAGGATTATCCATTAATTATGCGCAAATCTCAATCTTAGTCTTAGTAATTTAAAATTAATTGAACAAATTATTAAATCACGTCGAGGTCACCATGTTTTTTATTTTAAGAAATAATAACAATTGCAAGTACAACTGCACACAAAAACTGCATTGAAAAGATAAGAGGATAATAACATACAATTAGGTTATTTGATATAAAACCATAGCAACATGCTATGATATGCTCGGCCACTGGAAAGTGCTGCTCTCTAGTGTAGCAAACGAGGAACAATTAATCCTCAGTTGAATGAGGGAACGGAAATGTTCGACGGAGGAAAACTGTAACCCGCGAAAATTCAACTTTTAGACCTTGAAATCAATGGGATTTTGGCCGTTCCTCCGACGGCAACGAGAACCATCCATTCGTCGCCACGGACACTACCAATGCTAAAAGAAATCGATCGCAAAGAGCTCTCCCGAGTGGGCGAGCTCAAAAATATGGCGTCCATAGAAACATCTTGAATGAAAAGTTTCCCAGGTTTCGAAATTACTCATTTATTATTTACATTGTCGCTAGTAGCTATAATCCACAATGCGGAAGAAAAGGGGGGAAATACCTTCAGACCAGCTCGTTTCCACACCACCTTAGGAGAGCCCGATCAGGTACTGCTCCCGGAGGTAGAGCTTTCGGCGCGTTTTTTTTAACGTGGTATCGCCAAGAGCCCTAATCCACGGGGGAGGGAAGAGGGGAGAGAAAGGGGAAAGGAAGAGAGGAGAGGGAGGGAAGGAAGAGAGAAGAGGAAAGGAAGAGAGAGGAGGGAAGGAAGAGAAAAGAGGAAAGGAGGAGAGAAAACAAAATAAAACACTTACCAACGCTGCCGTAGCTCCATCCACTGCTCCTTGTCGTTTTTGACCCTGCCAAAAAAATCTGTACCCGCGGGAGACGGGAGTAGTGCCCTCCACAATTGATTAACGTGAAGAATTTAAACGGTATCTTACCTTCGGTTGCGGGAACCAGCGTCCAGCAGCAGCAGCAGCACCTGAAACAGAGAATAAAAAAAAGAAAAAAAAAGGAAAGAAGAAGAAAAAAAATCCCGGCACGAAGCAGCAGCACCTGAAACAGAGAATAAAAAAAAGAAAAAAAAGGAAAGAAGAAGAAGAAAAAATGCGACGATCCTGGTACGATGGCATCCAGCAGCAGCACCTGAAACAGAGAATAAAAAAAAGAAGAAAAAGGAAAGAAGAAGAAAAAAAATCCCGGTACGATGGCATCCAGCAGCAGCCCCTGAAACAGAGAATAAAAAAAGAGAAAAAAAAGGAAAGAAGAAAAAAAAAATGCGACGATCCCGGTACGATGGCATCCAGCAGCAGCAGCAGCAGCGACCGCCCCCAACCCCGGCTTCCGGCGTCCAGGTTCCTTTCCCACCTCCTCCCTTTTTTTTTTTTTTTTTTTTTTTTTTTTTTTTTTTTTTTTTT